ACATATGGTCACCTAACTCCCGAAACTACAACCCTGCCTGGATTATTATGTGTGGGGCACAGTTTACTGAGAGGCCAACAAAACTGTTTGTGACACCTGTAGCCGTCACGCCAAAACAGACCTGCTGAAACAGGGCAGTCGTCTCTCGTGGCTTCAACTGCCAAAGCCTTTTGACACACTCATTTTATAGGCCATGATGATGCAGCCAATTGGGTGAGTGGGAGAGTTTTGCATATGCGTACTCTGCCAATTCTCCCTTCCTTCAACTGCTCTGCAACACCATACGCATGCAATGTGTGGGTGTTTTCAGGCATGATGTCATGTATCTTGCTCACAACAATCACAAAACACTAAAGATGATCTGAAGGCAAGGCTTATGGCAACATTCACCAGCTTAAACAAAGAGACCGTCCAGAAGAGTTGCAGGAGATTCTGAAGTTGACTGGAGGCTGTGATATATTTACTCTTTCTTTTGTCTGAGCTTAATATTAGAATTGTCTTTTTATTCTTGGAATTCCGCCCCCTCATACTTTAATATTAAAGTCTAATCCTTTTTCTTTCAGAGCATCACAGAAGATTCCAGCTAACACATTTGTACCTGAATCTCTGCTTGACACAGCAGCTTCATTTCTAACATTAGTTCATTCATTGTTTCTGACTTGTGTCATTGTAAATAGCCACCGTTTTAAAAAAATAAAATGTAAATATTTTAACACTGTACTTGACTGAATTTTTTCTCTCCCCACATAAGGTGTTTATTGTATCCTTAAATATCAATACCACTTAATACTGTCAAGAGGATTAAAATTATTTAGTGGTAAAACCTTCCAAGTATCCTTAAAGGTAAAATTAATATAGAATGAGAAATTGCTATTCCTCCTTTTCATACATTGCTTTTTAATTTCAATAAAATGTATTCTCATGTTGCAATCAAAATATATCTCAATGTGTAACAACTGTCTACATGTCCCATTTATAAAATTGATGGGGGTGCTCTGAAATATTGGAATCTTAATATGGAACTTTTATTCCACCATTTAGAATAAGTAGATCACCACACACTTTTTTGTTTCATTCTTAAACTTCAGATAAATTATTAAATCTACTCTCATTTGCTTTCAATTAACTTAAGAATTTAAAAAAAACAAAATTTTTTTTACATTGATTTATCTAAGTTCCATGGCAGCTTGACTTTTACACCCACACACATATATATATATATATATATATATATATATATATATATATATATATATATATATATATATATATATATATATATATTTTTGAACAATAAAAAAATTAAATTCTTTAGACACACTGGGTTGTAGATTAATATTCTTTTGTTTTTTTTTATTATTATTCCAAATAGATTCCTCGACTAGTTTCGACAAAAATGGCCATCATCGGGAGGAGAAATACTTCTGCTTGCTGGTAGCGCTAAACTACAGAAATGAGTCTTTTGCTGGAGAAAATGAATTTTTGTCTGTAGTTTCCATTTGTTTTTTTTATTTTTTTTATCTTTTTAACATGAATCTTTTAACATTCCTTGTGTTGGTCAAACAGTCTCTTTTAAGTTGTTATTTGAGATAAGAGCTGGACAGATACATGTTACTCTGAATTCTCTGGTCAGTTTGACAGTTTTATTGGACCTGGTGAGGGGATGTGTCTCTGTTTAGTGTTTGGGTGTGTGTTATTTGATTCTGAGGGAGTGAGTGAGTATGATATGTGTAAGCGTGTGTATTGCTGTGAGTGTGTTATCATTTGGCTCATTAGGGAGTGAGTGAGTATGATGTGTGTAAGTGTGTATATTCGTGTGGGTGAGTGTGGATTGTATATATATATATATATATAAAAATATATATATATATAATCTCCCACTAAGGTAGGAGTGCTACTAGCATGCAAGCGGTCACAGAGAATGGGAGCAAGAGAAAAGGATGAAGAGAATGTGGAATAGATCAGGGCATGCTGCAGATGGATTCACATTGCATTTGAATAGTTGGAGATTATAGCTATCAGGGACTGGACTTCCACAGAGGGAAGTGCAAGGCATGAAGCTGTTGGAGCAGAAGAGATAGCTACATTTGATAGTGAAAGGGTGGGGCTGATATGCCAACCTAGTGGCATGTTTAAATTAATGCAGTTTGGGAACTAGTGAAAATAGCTTGTTGGAGCACTTACTGTAAAAGGTATCTAGAAAAGATGGAGGTGAGGGTGCGACTAAACAAGAAGCCAGGATAGAACCTTGGGAACACCAGTGTTCGTGAGAAAAACTGGAGGGGAATCCGTTAAGGATGACCTTCATTACACACTTTGACAGGAATGGTTGTATTAAGTCATGTATATACACTACAAAGATACAAAGTAACTCTTCACAGCACCATTCCCAAATTTTGGTGTGGGGGCAATGGTTAGTAAATCAGCCAGACATGACAGCTAGATCAGTTCACCTCACTGGGTGCTCTTTGCTTGTAGACTTGTACAAAACTAAGCTTAGTCATCGTCTGGTTTTAATTTGGATTAGAAATGAATTTGTACCACACATACCTGATAAATGGTTCTAACAAAGGTTAGGTGTCAAAAAAAAAACTATTCAGGTGATAAGTGTTTGGGTCCTACAAATTAGGCACTCTTAATGGAGAAAAGAAAACTGCTACTTAACCATTGTCAGCCAAATTGTTAGCATTTCTTCACATGCCAATCATCTAAAATTTAGTCACTTTAATATTTTGGTATTAGAAATTCTTAGGAGGTAGCTAGGATTCTAAAGAAAAAGTTGCTCATGGCCAACATTCAAAAATAACTAATGAAATTATTGGTTGATTTCTTAATCTTAAAGAGAAATCTTTACTGATACCCTGTCAGAAGTCTGCATTATTGTTAAAAGAAAATGTGAAAAAAAGTTGTAAAAAAACTTATACAGTTTAATATATGTACCTGACAATAAGTTTGTGAATATAATATAAATACAAACACATACCCCCTCCCTCTTGGTCTTGATGTTACTCATGATATATAGTAGATGAATCTGTCGTCCTAAACAAGGCTTCTCCAGAAACAGAATATCTCCATATACATGAAACCCCCATCTTTTACTTCTTGCACTCTGCTTTGTTGTGTGGATATCTCTTTTTCTGTGTGTGGGACATGTAAATATGTATATATAATTTTGTGTGTCTTAGTGATATAAAAGTCTCTCTGAGAACAAAGCATGTTTGTCATTCCCTTTCCTTTCAGCTATTCTATTCCATCCGTGAAGTAGTGTTGTTCTATCACGGATATAATAATGCCAACAATGGGAGAATGATTTTTCTTTTAAACCTCTTCCTATTATAAATCTATGAATCTGTTTCACTTTCCCTACTCAGCTGTGAATTAAATAGCAGAACAGTCTGAGCTCCCCAACCTTGAATGGTAGCCAGTTCAGGAGAAGGCAATAAACCATTCCACTCTCTTATCCAAGAAGTATTAAAGAGAGGAAAAGCATGGTAGTTTACATTCTGAAGAAACATTTAAGAAACAAATAAGTTAATTTTTCTCATTATTAAAGTGTGTATTTAGGCAGCAAATTCTCTTTTAGGCATGTCTGATTGAATAAATTAGACATTATGTCTACTAATTTTTAACAAATTTGTTCCTACTCACAAATAACCTTCTGTGTATTGATTTTAAAGGATGTGAGAAATGTGCTATAACTGTTTAAATTTCTTTTATTTTAATTTCCCAAGTACTTTCGATCTTCTTCCAAGGTCATCTTCTGGAGAAGCTATGTTTAGGACTACAGATTCATCTATCTGTTGTTCATTAGTACAAGTATTTATACAAGTTGTGCATTGTTATCAATTACCGTAATTTTTCCATTATGCTTTTAAATGCAAAACGGTTCACAATGTGCTGAGTGTTCATTTGAATGTGAAAAAATTATCCATTACGGAATTTTTTTAATGTTATGGTCATGTGTGCATGACCATGACATTATGAAAAAGCATGCAAAAACTGTTACTTTGTAGGCATTTCACAACATTACTGCAGTATTCATAGTTGATTCTGTTCAATGCTGGCTTTAATTTTTTAATATAAATTACTTCTAGTATCTGTAATCTGAATTTGTTCTTTTCATGGTATAGAATAGTTGTGTTGTCGATTAGTACTTTTCCATATTGTGAATGTGAACATTTACAACAACATAATGTCTGTAATTTATTCTATATATATATCCTGACCGAGTGTGTCTCTCGTACAGGGCAGCTGGCTCCCTTGGCCTCAACTGTCAAAGCTTTCTGACACACTCATTTTATAGGCCATGACGATGCAGCCAATTGGGTGAGTGGGAGAGTTTTGCATATGCGTACTCTGCTAATTCTCCCTTCCTTCAACTGCTCTGCAACACCATACGCATGCAATGCATGGGCGTTTTCAGGCATGATGTCACGTATTTTGCTCACAACAATCACAAAAGTAAAACACTAAAGATGAACTGAAGGCAAGGCTTATGGCAACATTCACCAGCTTAAACAAAGAGACCGTCCAGAAGAGTTGCAGGAGATTCTGAAGTTGACTGGAGGCTGTGATATATTTACTCTTTCTTTAATATTTAAAGATATTTTTTGTGTAATTTTGGTTAACATAAAACGAAATGTCAGTGTTATTTTCATTTTTGCGTAATGTAGATGACAATTTATCCATCGCACCCTGTAGAAAGGAAAGGAATTAAATTAAAAGATAAAAGTAAAACGAAATTAACAGTTTTGTTTTACATACAACAAAATTATTCGGTAGAAAAAGAATATTTATTTTCCCCCCCATCATGTTTACATTCGATACTGTTTGTTGTACTATATTAATTACAAAGGACATATTTGCAATGCCAAGTAGATAGTAAAAACAGGTCATGCTGTTTCGCATTTAGAAGTTTATTGCTTTAAAAAAAAATGTGGTGCGGTTTATTTATAAGGAACTTGTGTTTGTAATGCACCGTTTTCAAGCTACATAACAACATGGCAATGTTCAACCGAATTGTGTATAACATTTTCTTTTTTCTACTTATCGTTACATTATCTGCTGCAGACAAGAAGTTAGTTAAAAGCTTCATATGGGATGAACGAGGTTACTTAATTTATTGTCCTTGTATGGGTAAGTAGACTAAGATTAATAAATTAAAATAAAAATAGCACGTGTTCTCGCGCAGACCGGGACACTATATTTTTGAAAAGTGAAAAAAAAGTTATCAAAACTTCATCTTAAAGTTGTGAACCTAGACAAAAATATTAAAAACAGACAAAGGAAGTTAAAGATGTCTCTTATAAATTCTTTCTCTCGTAGCACTGCATGAAAAGGTTATTTTTAATAACAATCTTAAGTTTTACTTTTTGCGTGTGTGTACGTGTGTGTAGTTTTCTTTAACAAAAAAAAGATAATTTCTTTGTTTATCACTTCATTCATTGAATGAAAACCTAAAAGGAATAAATATTAAAGAAAAATAAAAGAGAAAGTTTCTAATATTTAACATTTCTTTGGTAAATTAAATATAAATTTAATTTTGTTTGACTAATGTTTCTAGCTAGATTTATTTATTTATTTGAAAATTTAATTGTTCGAACTTTCTTGTGTTTCTTTTTTTTTTTTTAATTTCTAAAGATTTGGGGGGAAAATATATAAAAAAAAAAATGTATGCATTGAATTTCTGTCTTAAGAAAAAATCATGTCAAAAAAAATTAAAATTAACTCGAATATTTGTACTTTAAGTGCGGGCAACCTAGGGTTAATAACGGTTCTGTATTATTCTTCAAAGTGTTAAAAAACGACCCCCTTTCAAGAACTTGCGATTTTGTGACTTAGATCACAGTTGCCCTTTCTTTCCGATTTCATTTATTCGGTTTGGTAACGTGTTTTTAATGCTTTGAAAATAATGGGAATTGTAAAAGATTTCAAATATCATTTAAAAGTGTCATTTCTTTTGTTTGAAAAACTCGCCCGAGGATCGCGTTATGTTGCTTCTTCAACCCATTATGACAAGTGACGTCATTTTCGCATTGCCCATCTTAGTCAGAGGTGACCGGTTCCATTGCTATCATTGCTTGGTATATTTCTGTATTCTTTTTCAGTTGTTTCTTTGTTGTAAAAGAAAATTATTTTGTTTTTATTTTTAAAAAGTTTTTTTTTCTAATCCTCAAGTAAACGTTTACATTTACAAATATGATGTTGAGATGTATAATAAAAAAATTATTTTTTATTACTGTTTTTCTTTAGCTTTGGTTTCTTGGTGATAAAAATGTTTGTTTTATCGTCTAGATAGGATGTTCGTGTTTTTTGTTGTTTTTTTTTTGTACACGTTCTTTTGAGAGAAGTGTATTTTTATGAAGGCCAGACGATTTGACTAAAAAAAAAATGTTACATGTATCTTTTTTTTTTTTTAGCTCAATGGTTAAAAACCCCCAAAATTATTAGGGATCCATTTCAAGTTTATGAAATTTTTTTTTTTTTTGTATTTACTGACCAATGAGAGACGTGGTCTCAAGTCCTAGTAAGAACTTGAATAGTGGCCTTGTGTGATCCTCTTTTTCCTAGTAAAAGGACTCGGGTTAGTAGATAACTTTAGAAGGATTTTTGACATCAAGAAAAGAGCAGATAGAAGGAAATTAACAATTAACATCAAGGAGGAGAAGGCATTTTGGTGAGAAGGCACAAAGTTACAAGCCAGCTGCAGAGAGACTAAAGAATTTGGAAGTTTAAGTGAAAATTTTCCTGTTGTTGGACAATGAAAAAAGAATTCAAAGAAATTTTCTCGAAAGCACAAACAGTGTGAATATAAAAAGACATTTCCCAAATTGTTATATGTCCCAGAGATGCCTATGGGACAGGTAAAAGTATTATTTTTTTTTCTAAAAGATGGTTGTACTTTGTCTTACTGTCTTCTTGAATTGCTTTCTTTTTCGTCATTTCTTAAATTGAATTCTTGTGTTGTTTTCTAAGCTGTAATCCTTTTTTTTCTATTTTCAATGATAATCCTTTTTGTTTCGTTTTTGCAGTATATCTGTAAATGTTATACTGCCTTATAACAAAAGGAAATTTTGTGCAAGAGTCTTATGTGTAAATTTTTGTATTTTTTTTCTTTTCCATATACTATAATAAATGTGAGGCCTTTAAAATTTCATGCAGTGGTTGAATCTAGTTAATTCCACCTTATAGATTAAAACTTTTAAAAAAATCTTACGTTATCATGACAACAAGTCAGGCTGTCATACATTTATGGTTGTCAGCAATTTTGTTGAACTTCTGTAGAATATATATTTTATATTTATTCAACATCAATACCAGTATACATTGTAATGCGTTTATTTTTAATCAGAATTTACCCCAAGCAAGGCAGTAAAGCCACTAGGACACAAGGGGGTTACTAGCTGTGAAAGAATTCAAAAACAGAAGCATTACTAAGGGGTGAAACAATATCAGGAGTAATCAGGAAGATAGTAGATAACAATTAACATTGCATTTAAATTTTTGAAGATCAAAGTTAACTGGAAAGCATAGAGCCAGAAGAGTTTCACAAAAGAGAAGTGTGAGAAAAACTGTTAGCATAGAACTTACAGTTACATTTGGCCAACTCAACTGTAAATTGATGAGACCTTGTTGCCAATCTAATACTGTGTTTAACTTCATAAAATCTAGGTAACATAGTGGAGAGCTCATCTGAACAATTACCATGAGGCACAGGGAAGCAACTTTACAGTGGTAAGAAAGTGACTGAAGCTGAGATGCCAGGTCAAGACCACTAATATTGCAGATTCTTTGGATTTTATCAAGACTCTCAAAATATATAGCAGGGGTACATGTGATAGCAATATTCTAAGCTTGGACAAATGGTAGACTTATATGTTGGATAGATTCTGTAGAGAAAAAATTGTTTAGCACCACACAGTCAACTAACTTTCTTAGCAGCTGACCTAGCAATGGATTCAATATAGTCTTTCCACTTCATGTCAGCAGAGAATGTTAGCCTGAGAAAGTGCAATGAGTCACTCTTTTGAAGGTTATCATCAGACATGCTGTTGCATATCTCATAAGACATTCATATTGAATTTAATCATGATTTTATAAATATTTGAATGACAAATCAGTCATAAATGTTTAAGTATAATGTTCTTATTGCCTCTCTGTTCCAAGTTCTACACTCAGGATTGTCCCATAGGACAATAGCCTAGTGGTTTTAAGCATTGGTTTAGAAATTTGGTGATATAGTAATTGTGAATTCAATCCCTGGGCTGGGAAGTACAGACTTAAATACAATGGAAACATGGCAAGCAATAACTGAGTTGGATTTAAAAAGAACAAGATGAGATATCTCTAGAGATGGACTGGACTCTCTAGCCTTGATTGGTAACTAGTCTAAGAGAAAGAAAACCAATGGAGAATGCACTGGAGATACCAGTTCAATATCTTTCTCAAGATGCCATAGCAATTTAAAAAATAAATAAAAGGAACCTGTAGAAAGTTATGATTGCTTAGTTCTTGAAGAAACATAGTATTAAATATGTAAAGTATTTTGTAAGAACGCAAAAATTGGCATTTATAATAGTTTTGTCTTAAGTCTATTTATTTATTTTTATAACTTTGTTAAAAAAAAAAGAACGAAATTGCCCTAAATCCTCTTTTAACCATCATTACCACAATAAATAAAAATGACTATGATTAATCTGTTACATTTTTCTTAGTGAAATTTCAACATTTTTTTTTCTTCTCCAGGTCGTTTTGGAAATCAGGCAGAACATTTTCTTGGAACTTTTGGATTTGCCAAAGCAATAAACCGAACCCTTATTTTACCTCCATGGAGGACATATGTATGTTTACTTGACTTATTAAAAATGTGTGCATGTCATATAACTTTGTAAACTGCATATATGCATCTGTTATTGACAACATTTAAGTCAATCCATAAATAAATCAACTAATAAATTTTTGCAGCCTGGTCACTATTTTTTTTTATCCATACTGTCAATAATGATGGCATGTTTTCTTAAATCCTATTAGCTTTCTACATGACATGTGAGTCTTTAAATATATTTTTTCTACTTATTGATTTGTACTCAGCTCTTGAACTGAATTGGTATTTTAGCTTTGTGGCTTCGTAAACATCTTTAAATGATTTCTCATAAACAAAGATAGTACTATTTCATGTTGCTGATGCAAAGAAGATAATATTGTATAACAAAATGTTATATTACAGACAAAAAGTCCCACTTAGCATGTTTAATATATATATATATATAAGGTGTTTTTAGACAGTTTTTTTTTCTATTTTGTTCAAGTACTTTCAACTATCTGTCATCAAAAACTACGTATTGTCAGTTATGACTAAGATGGTCAAACAGGAAAAACAAACTTTAGACAGATTATTCATAATTTCAAACCTTGATAAACATCTCTTATTAAAAATAAGAAATGCACACTATATCTATCTATCTATCTCTCTCTCTCTCTCTCTATATATATATATATATATATATATATATATATATATAAATCTCCCTCACCAGTAGCATGACTCAGTTTCCTGCACAATGCAATCTTCAGGCGCTGGGTAGAGACTGGCCATTACATAATTTTAATAAAAATATCTGGTTAATGCAATGCTGGTGGAGTCCATATATTATAAGGGGATTATGGTTTTTTTATTTTAAAAATATATATTGCATTTAAAATAGGGTTTTTATTTTATATTTAAAATAAACAGGGATTAATGGTATTTATTAAAAAAAAAAATGATTAGAATAGACGGACCTAAAACTCTATGGGAAAAAATAATTTTAATTTTTATCTAAAGTTAGGATTATTATTTTATATTAAACATAAAGGGAGATTACTTTTTTTTGTATTATATTTTGTATATATAAGCTTCAATAAAAACGATTGGTACTGCGGTTAATTTTTTTATTTAATTTTTTCACTTTTCTGGCTTATGTAATTTAATAATTGTGTATTTGGACAGCTATCACTCTTTTACACAATTATTAAATTAAGTGGGATTGCTGACCAAATATGCAATTATTGTTGGTCATTTTACTATAAATATATATTTCTGGTATTTTTATACTTTCATAGTGTTTTGTTTTTGTTTATGGGTTCACTATTTGCCCATAGCTGGGACCCTAACAGGTGCTGCCACTCTGGGTTAAAGTGGAGCTGGGAACAATAGTAATTAAGAGATGTTCTATGCTCTTCAAAACATCCAATTTTTTCAATCAGAAATCTTGCCGCTGAAAATCATCATACCCAGGGCTAACCCTAATGGAGATCATATTTTCCTTATTAATAGACACTGTTTAAAATAAAAAATGACGCATCTATTTCAAACATGCATGCACAAAAATTAAAATTTTGAGGTAATAAAATGTTTGATTAAAAATAAATTAATTCTTTATACATTAAGTACACACACAAAAATATGAATATAAGATATTGTACATTGAGTGCTGGTGTTAATAAAATAGTGCTTAATATAACAGAGCTATTAAGTATATATTAATAAATGTACATATATATATATATATATATATATATATATATATATATATATATATATATATACATACATGTTTCATTAAATAATATAGACAAGTGTTGTCTATTTATTTTATGTAAATTCTTTTCATAATGTCTGATAAGCTTAATAACATTATCATTAAACGAAGAAAGAAAATCACAATATTGATCCATATTTTTTAATCCACTCTAAGCTTTTGGCTTACATAAGCTATTATCAAAGATGTCAATTACTGTACAACATATTACAACGCTTGACACTACAATTGAATGAAAACTAATATTTTTAGGCATTTAAAACAACATGCCTGGCAGCACACACAATTCCGTAAAATCGTTGTCGAAAACACAATTATACTTCAACAAAAACTAAAAATCCTTGAAGCACTATACATCAAACAGTTGAAACCTAACCTAAACAAAATCAACTATGGAATCTCTACAAATATCCTTAAATGTCTATAATTGGTAACAGAAGCCATTGGTTTATACTTCTCGAATTCACTATTGTGTGGTCATGTGTGACGTCATGAGCTGCAATGTGATTTTTGCTTCAAGCATCTTATATGCACGTGTTTATCGTTGCTAGGAAATCATCCATGTAAACAATCACAGACTATCATCACTGTCTTGTCTGTATATTGCTTAATATGTTGTACAGTAATTGACATCTTTGATAATGGCTTATGTAAGCCGAAAGCTTAGATTGGATTAAAAAATATGGATCAATATTGTGATTTTCTTTCTTCGTTTAATGATAATGTTATTAAGCTTATCAGACGTCATGAAAAGAATTAACATAAAATAGACAACACTTGTCTATATTATTTAATGAAACATGTATGAATGAAAAAATTCTGCCTAAATACACACACTATATATATATATATATATATATATATATATATATATATATATATATATATATATAGACAAGCAATCAAATAAATTCCTCTTTCAAATGCCTTTACACCAATGTCCCCATTTAAAAATGCCTAAATCTTTGAAAAAAAAAATCAAAAGAAAAGTCCTCCCTTCCAAAACCTAAAATAATAAAAATCTGGTGTCTCATCACCAATCAATGCTGTTTGCCATTTAATGATGATTTTTTCAAATAAAAATTTAGATTTCCAGTGGGATCACCTCTTAGTGGAATAATGGCATGTATCTTAGAATTTCTCGAATCTGGACCTTTCCAAAATATTTTACTAAATTATATATATATATATATATATATATATATATATAATATGGATTTTTTTATGCACACATTTCAATATACAATCCCCTATAGAGAAAGATACCTTATTTAATGTTGGCTGCTTAAATTAAAATATGTATAAAAAAAATCTAGTTTATATAGGGTTCAATGGAAAGAAAAAAAATTAGAAAAATCTGGAACCTGTTGTAATACAAGAAAAGAACCAACATTAAATAAAGTATCATCGGAAATTCTATATTAAAGTGTGTGTGTGTGTGTATATATATATATATATATATATATATATATATATATATATATATATATATATAAAAATAAATAAAGTTATTAAGCTGAGTATTTTTGCCTCTGGGATACAACTGTTGGGTAGTTAGTGTAGATTCAACTCCTTATAGTTGACCAGAAGATACATCAGCCAAAATCTAGTAAAAAAAAAAAAAAAAAATGAATCAGGATGAGACTAACTTGTTGAATAATGATGACTTGACAATTTCAAACAATATAAATCTGTTGACCATTTGGGAGCAGCTGATGAGACATAAGAAATTTTTGTATTTGTCAATTTTATTCTGTGACTAAATCCGATAGGGTATGTGCGCAACATAACATAGTGGTTATCAGCATTCCCAATTCAAATTTTGGCTGAGTTCTTTGTTTTCAATTTCACACAAATACCCTTGGGAAAGGTATGAATCCCTCTTCCATCCATCTTTTCTTCCACCTGTTATGAATGAAATAGCAGAGTAGACTGAGCTCTCTAGCTATGGTTGGCAACCAGTCTAGCAGATGGACATTTCTGAATTCCAAACTGGTTAGTCATAGGAATGGCAATTCTACCCCCTATAAACCTACTTGCTATGAAAACCAAATCCACAACACCAATCACAGTGAAGGCTATGGCAATAAAAGAGAAAGACAAATCTGATAAAGATTCAAAATATTTCATGGATAGTAATGAAGTTAACGAAAATAACAATTCTCCTGGAGCAATTGATAAGATATTTTGCTGATGTCTATCACAAAAATATCCCATTTCCAAATAAAAAAGTAGAATATATCGTCATCCACTTGTTTGTTTACATGAGATGGGTGGCTGTACTCCGTGTTTAAATTATTTATATAAAAAAAATCCTCAGTGTTCTCATTTAGCTGTCAAAATAACTTGATAGTATCTCTGTTTATTACAAAGCATTCATTATAAAACTTATCTATAGTGAAGAAAACGGCGACTTACCTCATCAAACCAAGTGAAAGCGCGTCACGTGTATCCTACGACGGAAAAGAAAATACTTACCAAAAAAAGGGCACGTATTCCACAGAATATTTAGATTAAAAACAAGTCTGTCACAGGAGTCACTATAAAAGTATTTTAATATGCAAAAATTTGGCGTCCTCTCCCAGTTGTTGACGAATGAAAAAAATGCTTGGCCGATAAAAGCAGTTGGTGTTCTCGAATCGGGAGGAAAATTGATGTATTTTGGCTACCGCATTCATCGGAGAGTGAGTTATTTTTCTGACTCGTTATGTGCATTAGGGTTTGTGAGATAGTACCTGCAAATCGAGTTTTCAGCATTTCTTTCTGTCCCCGATATTTGAGTCTGGACTTACTGTGATTTGTTCTCTGCGTTGTGGAATTAATCTGTGACAAACATTTCCTTTGCTTTCAGAATGCTTACATTAACTTTTATGTGTTGTAAAAAAAAAAAAAATGTTTGAAATTGGATTACAGAATGCCATCTCTATTGTTGGGGAAAATTTTTACAAATCAGACAAAAAGAATCAATTATTTTTTCATTGCTCTCCAAATATATTTTCAGTTATGTAAATTATTCATTTTAATTTCAAATTATACCAATTTTAACGCTCAAACAAACTTTGGTAGATCACTTTTAACTTTAAATGATGACTGATCGAAAAAAAACTAAAATTCCCATTTACTTGAGTAATATATGACTTGTGTCTTTGTATAGCTGTAGTGTGTGTCTCACTTCAGATCATGCAGAATAGACTTTGCTATGTGTGTCCGTCAGAGAAACCAGGTGCAGTGTTAACCTGAAATTTCAAGCCAGGATGATGGTGGTGGTGGAGAGATCCCTGATTCACCTGATATCACTTGCAACCTCAATAGGTGAACACCTGATTAGCCCAGCTGTACCTGAGATGCCTGTGAGAAAAAGACCCACATTACAATGATAGATATATAAACAACCACTCCAGTGGTAAGAAGGCAGTCTCTCAGACATCACAGATGAGAATGTAAAGTCCACATGGTGAAAGACCTAGACACATGTTCATACACACTGGCTGATAGTATTTGACAAAGGAGTCAAATAAAATGTAATGTCAAATATAAGATTATGCCTTGGGTTTTTATGAGTAACAGCATGACAGCAGAATATCACATAAATAAAAGTATTTGTCATGAGAATTTATGTGTTAACTTGTTAATGAATTAGATTATAAAACTCTAGATTTTTTTTCTTTTTGATTTGTATGGTTTAATTCTTGAATTCGGAATTAAAAAGTGCTTTAGCTAAAATTGTTGAAACTTAAACAAAAAAAATCCAAACTGGTTACCATATGTCAAGGCTTAGAAGTCACTTGAAAAAAGAAAGTGGATTTTTCACTGCAATGTTAAGACTCAGTTTTCTCTGTATTCCTCAATGAATCTTCCAATTCATATTTATATTCTTATATTACAGAAAAACATTCCATTTGATGATTGGTTCCAAGTTGAACCACTTTCAACTTACCATGCTGTGATTCTTGCTGAAGACTTTATGGCTTACCTGGCACCAACATATTGGCCTCCTGGGAACCGAACTGGCTGGTGCTATCTGCCACCTAATAACTCTGGAGATTGTCGAATGAAAGAAGGTAAATTATGTTAATATTTTTTTAAAAGTTTTGCTTAAAAGGATTGCAATATCCCAATGTATAATAATAAACAGTGTGAATTTTCTATATTTCTGTTTCTCCATAACTTTTGTCACACTAAAGGAAACAAATATACATGAAAAGGATGCTGAAAGGTTTTTTGGTTTGACCAAGAAGCCCATCAAAAAAAATAAATAAAGATTTTGGTAACTTAAGAAGTAGGTTGAGCTGAGAACTTTTCAGCATTCTCTTTGCAAACCTATCACGAAATAATTTTAATATGAAGTTGATTCAGCTTTTTGTGATTTCTTAAAGTTGGCTAGATAAGCATTTGACTAATGAAAATATAATAATTTATAATAATACAAGTAGCACTCACTGGTGGTTACTGCTGAGACAATAAAAATTATACATAGGTATTATAAAAAATTTTAATTTATTTTTTTTCTTCATTTATTTCAATTGCTCTGTTGGCTGGGGATGTAGAATAGATTGACTGAACCTCTTCAGAGGGGTAAAACCTCCACAGTGAGGCCACCTATTTGCCATGGATGTCAACCCATGATACCCAAGGATGGAATCCTGGTAATTGAGGATTTCAGGAGTTAGGTAGAATACTCCTGAATTCCAACACACTATTTTGGTCCTTACTTAGCCTAGACTGGTGATCGGAGGGACCCAATCTGATCAACCAGCTGGTCATGTCAAGCCCTAAGTCAGACCAACAAAACACCCCCATCCAAAACTGACTTGGTAAGCGGTGACTGTAGGATCAATCAAACTAGGGATAAAGGAGTCTGACATGGTTGCTGTAAACACTGAAGAAAATCCATTTGGTGGTTGTTCCCAAATACAACAGATGCTCAAATTCCTCCCCTATTCTTATTTGGGTATATCAGTTATGTAGACATGGAGGGATAGGGCAAATGGGATTTTCTCCCTCATCAGCTCCCCTATATGGGGCTCCGAGGTGAGTGTGGAACATGACTGATGAATAATACTATAATTTTATGGCTACAAAAAAAATAAAATATCCCTATTCTGAATCTAACATCCAACAAACAAATGAAACCAGTAAAAATAAAAAAATTTTTTTCATAGCCAAGGTGGATTAAATTGGTTCCAAGTCCTAGAAGGTGTCATAATTGTCAGAGATATGTACATTTAAAAGAATATTGTAAAAAGAAACCAACTTGTGTCAAATGTGGAATATCTGAACTAGAACATGAAGAATCAACATGCAAGGACAACCTAAAATGCATGAACTGCAATGAGAACCATAGGGCAGACTTAAGTGAGTTCAAGACCTAGGAGAAGGAAATTATAAAAACCAAAATCACACAAAATATCACTTTTCCAGAAGGAAGGAAACTTAATGAGGCTGCTGCCAACTCACCAACTTATGCAAAAGTCATAAAAACCAGGAAAACACATTCAGAAAAGTGGAAAGAAAATGGAAAAAGAGTTGACAACTCTAATAAGTGAATTACAGAGCTTGATTAAAACCAATATATCAATATAGCAACAACACGCCATGACCAAAACAAACATCTTCTCAAAGACGGTTAACAAAAAGATGAAATGCCAAACTCAAAAAAATACTGATCAACATCAAGAACAAGAGGAAAAAAAGAAAAACAAAACCATCAAATTGAGATGAAAAACGGCTTTGAACACATGGTACAGTGGATAAAGGTGTTGGTTAGATCCAGTGACAGGACCCAAAAGAGTGTGAGTTCAATACCTGGTTAAGGCAGCGGAGAACTTGGAGAGAGGAATTAACAGGAGATAACTGATAACTGGCATCGATTAAAACATGGCACATGGAACTAGAACAGTCTACCCCAGTGAGCGAAATAAAGGATTCAGTTCAACATTCCAACCACCTGAAGAAGGCAGGAGTGTACAACGGCCGAAATGTTGTAATAAATATGGCTAACAAAGATGAGGACAATAGTCCGAATAATGTAAATAGTGTACATAATACCTCATCTCAGAAATATAGACAGCTTTGAAAATCTTTACAATATGGAAATTGATATAGACTCATCACCTACAAAACGAAATGAAGTATAAAACTAATATTATTCAGTGGAACTGCAGAAGACTTAAAGCTCACTATGAAGAAATCCAGAAACGTATAACAGAAAGCAATCCTAACATAATATGCCTACAAGAAATGATACTGAAGGAGAATAGTAATATTACAATCAAAGGTTATCAGACCTATGATAATACTCCTACAATTAGTGCAAATAATAGGTCAACTGGTGGTACCTTAATACTGGTTAAAAATACCATCCCCCATGAGGTACTAAAACTAGACACAAAAACACAAGCTACCATTGTTAGTCACATTCCATCAATCCTTCACAGTATGTTCAATATACATCCTCCAAAATAAGCTTTAAAACAAGTGGAAATAAATACACTTATAGAACAACTAACCATCCGCTTCTGCTATTGGGAGATTTTAATGTCCATAGTGTGTTCTGGGACAATTCAAAATTATAATCTATGTCTTCTAAATGACAAAGCCAATACCTACATTCATCCAGCCACTGGAACAATGTCTGTTTTAGATTTAACAATATGCTCTCTTTCCTTATTTCTGGATCTACAAATGACTTTAAATTCTCAACAACCAAGACAAAATGTGTTCATTTTGGCAACAAAAGGAAAATGCACAATGACCCTCTTAAATTCAGGGAAACAGAAATTAGGAATGTCAAACAGTTTAAATACCTGTAGATCATTTTTGACAAAGTTAAATTTCATACCTCATATCAAATATCTGAAACAAAGATGCAGTAAGTGCCTAAATCTCCTACATGTAATTGCAAACACAGATTGGGGTGCAGATAAGCCCTTCTAAAGATATATGGAATTTTAATACACTCTAAACTGGACTACAGCTACTTCATTTATGGAGTTACCAGAGCAGCATATATAAAAATACTGGATTCCATCCATAAAGGAGGATTGAGACTCTCCCTGGGAGCTTTCAAAATATCTAAAAAGCCTATGTGTAGAAGCCTGTGAAGTTCCTTTGAAATTCAGAAGAGATGAATCATCCTTTCAATACTACATGAAACTTAGATCATGCCCAAACAACCCAATATACACTTGCACTGTTAATGGTAATTATAAAATTTTATTAATCTGAAAGAAAAAGCAATAAAACCCTTTGGCTTGATAATGGAAGAGAACATAGAAGTTTTCAAAATACCCATTACAAATATTCACAAATCCACCATACCTAAAATCTCACCTCTGACAACAAGGCAGCCCAAAGTGCTCCTCAATGTAAACAAGAGCTCAAAACAATATACAACCCCAGTTTTTTTTTTCACAAGGAACTACAAAACATTAGACAACAATATCCAAAATATACTGACGGTTCCAAACACAGCAGTATGGTAGGATGTGCAGTTATTTTTTATAATGCAAAAATTAAAACACATCTCCCTATTTGAAGACCCCATATTTAGTGCAGAAGCCAGAGTGATAGATATAGCCCTCAATGTGATCAACAAAGAAAAATTTTCAAAATTTATATATATATATATATATATATATATGAAAAAGTGTCAAGATAGAATTAACACTGCATGATGACTGTCTGTTTTGCACTTAAAGTGATCCTCTTTGCATAGTATCTCTCACTACACACATATATATATATATATATATAATGTGGGGACTGATTTTCCCACTTTTTGTTTAGATTACTTAGTCATAATCTTGAGTTGTTCATTTATTATATTTAATTTTATTTTTTAAATTTATTGAGAGTGTTGTTCTATGAAATAAAAAAAATAATTTAACCTCAGGACTCTAAATAATATGAAAACCTTCACTCAAAACAAAACAAAAAAATAGTTTCCACCTTTCCCCATTTTCTATAAATCCCCTCTACTCACACACACCAGTGGCCTCTATATAGATCTCACACAAAGAGGATTCATACGTAATCTGATGATTGCTCAAAGTGTGAAACTGATAACCACCAAGCAGTGTTGATTTCTATATCTGCATTATTTATCTCAACATGGTAATGATAATATTAGCTGTTTCCTTATAAGGAAACATTCAGCATTCATTGATCAAGTAGCCAGTGAAATTGTCATGCTCTATCCATGCTATTGAGCACTATAAATATAGCAAATTTTAAATGATATAATTGTATACAATTTCTTATATCTACATTTTTCTTAAAAACTTTTTTTTTTATTCCAGGCAATCCATTTGGACAATTCTGGGATGGACTTAATGTTGATTTCAATGCAAATGAAATTGTCTCCATTTCATATATGCAAACAAGTAAATGGAAAGCAATGTAAATATACTTGATTCTAAAAATTTACACATATGCACTTTAAACTTAATAATGTTATATCTGGCGTTTTTAATTCCTTAATAGATTATCCTAAGCACTTAACTGCTTAATAGCTTATCTTGAGCAATTAATTACTTTAAGAATTATCCCAAGTATTAGACCTTTTAATGGATTATCTTGTGTATTTAATGCCTTAAAGGATTATTCAGATTATTTAACCCATTAATGGATTATCCAGTGTAAAGTTGTTTTTGTTTTTTTAGGCAGTTCTTTACATAACTTACCATAATCATCCTCTTAAATGTCTTTTTCAGGTGTCCCCCCCTTCACAAATGTCATTTCGTGTGTCCCCCCCTTCACAAATGTCATTTCGTGTGTCCCCCCTTCACAAATGTCTTTTCAGGTGTCCCTCCCCTTCACAAATGTCTTTTCATGTGCTCCCCCTTCACAAATGTCAAATGTCTTTTCAGGCGCCTCCCGCTTTCACAAACGTCTTTTCAGATGTCCCCCTCACAAATGTCTTTTCAGGTGTCCCCCCCTTCACAAATGTCTTTTCAGGTGCCCCCCTTCACAAATGTCTTTTCAGGTGCCCCCCCTTCACAAATGTCTTTTCAGGTGTGTGTGCCCCCCCCCAAATTTTTTCAGGTGTTTGTCTTCCCCCTCACAAATGTCTTTTTCAGGTGTGTCCTCTCCCCTTCACAAATGTCTTTTCAGGTGTCCCTCCCCTTCACAAATGTCTTTTCAGATGTCCCCCCTCTCAAATGTCTTTTCAGGTATCCTCCTAACAAGTACCCAGTTATTGCCATGCGAGGTGCTCCTGCCAGTTTTCCAGTTGAGCAGAAATATGCCCTTTTGCACAAATATCTCTTATGGTCAGAATCAATAGAGAGACAAGCAGATCAATATATTGAAGACAACTTTGAAGGCAAAGAGTTTGTTGGCATTCACTTACGAAATGGTGTAGATTGGGTGAGAAGTTTTACTTTGGTTTTTGTGAAATTAGAAAATTTTGATAAGACTTCAGTTTAGTCTTTTTATTAAAATTATGGTTCTTTACAAAAGATTCTGATGTAATATGAACAGTTTTGGTTGTTCCAGAAGTTGAATAATTTGTATTAAATCAATAACAATTGTATTGATGATAGCTGTTGTTATTGATACAATCTTTGCTATATTACAAGAGCAAGAATGTTTACATTTGTAAATAGAAATAGTCATCAGTTCAACACACACACATATTTTGCTTAAGATGAAAAACTGCCAATCACCATGCAGTGTTGATTTTTTTGTCCACACAGTTTACATATGCTATATCGCTGATATTAAGCATTCTTCTTTCCCACTAAATATAGAAATTTTAAATTTATTTTTGAGGACATGCCACTGATATATTATTATTTTTTTTTGCTAATCACAGCTTACCTTGACCCTCCCAGCACATAAATGATTTGCCTACTTTGCTCATTTGTGAATATCTATACTGATGATAAAACAGTATATGAGTGCACCTCCAAAATTCTAGATGACCAGAGATTGGAAGCTGATCACTCCTCTAACACAGCTGTAACATTTCAGTGAGGGAAATCTGGCTGGTTACATTCAATGTCTCGAAACCAAATTAGTTAACCATCATCGCAAATCAGACACTGAACTATTGATATCCTAACTGCCGTAAGGCATGAAACAATAAATACATCTCAAGGACGATCACATTAGATATTTCAAAGGCCATTGATAAGATGTGGCATAAAGGATTACTGCACAAGCTCTCTAGGTATGGAATCACTGGAAGAGTTTTGCGATTATAAAGTCCTTCCTAACGAGTAGTTCCATGAAAGTAATTGTTAACAGCCAGTCTTCTGAAGCCTTAGAAATCAACAAAGGTATTCCTCAGTTCAACTCTTTCTACTATATATAAGCTTTGGTCATTTGTGAATATCTATGCTGATAATACAATGGTATACGGTTGCACCTTCAAAACTCTAGAAGCCCAGAGATTGGCAGCTGATCTCCCCTCTGACATAACTCTTACAAATCAGTGAGGGATAAACTGGCTGGTTACATTCAATATCTTGAAAACCAAACTAGTGACCTTCCACCATTGCTGATGGGACACAGAATTTTCACCAATTCTGTTGAATAAATGTTCTCTCATGCAGATCCCGTACTTTGAGTGCCTGTTGGGACTTAAACTCAACCCAGACCTCAAGTGGAACTCATACATATGATCCATCACTAAAGATGTGTGGAAAATGGTCAGTTCTCTGTCCCACTCCAACAAGTACCTGACTCCTCCTGCTATCCTCTACCTTTACAAGGGTCAGATCAGGCCCAAAATGGAGTACTGCTACCATATACAGGTAGGAGCTGCCCAGTTTTCACTTTCGATAGAGTTCAAAAGAATCTCCACATTCTTGTGAGGGGACAAATTATTCCTCCACTCTACAACCTGTTTCTCACAGATGAGATGTCACAAACCTCTCATTGCTCTATCACTATTTCCTTGGTGAGTGTTCAGATGAACTACACTCTTTTGTTCCACCAGTCCTGACCTTCACGGCTAACATGCACCATGCCATGCACATCATAGAGAACCACCCTCAATCCTTTCATATTCCCCTGTTGAGATGTAATTTCTACTTAAGCAGCTTCTTCCCACAAACCCCTGCATTGTGGAACTGATTCCCAAGGGGTTGCTTCCTGATCACTACAATCTTAACCTTTTCAAGTCTAGAGTCAACTGTTATCTTCCACACATATCCACATAAGCTGTACCTCTTACTCTGTAATCCTCTACCTTGAGTGACTCCCAGGCTTTGTACACAGTGAACACCATTGTAAACAAAAAACATGGCTCCAGCATAATTTGGACACTTTTTTTCAAGGTCAAAAACAATTATAGCATTTTCTGAAATTCACATTTGTTTTAATTGTTGATGTTACTTCTAAACAATTTATTACTGTCAATATTTACTGTTTATAATAAAAATCATTTTTATATTATGTTCACTTAAAAGCTAATTTCTTTTTCTATTAAAAAAATGATTTGCTTTAAATTTTCACCAAGAAATATTCCCTCTGGCCTTATCCAGAATTTCTCAGTTACTATCAAAATAATTTATTGTCAGTCAGTCAGTTAAGTGCTATCATGTGATACACACTTGGGCAATCATGTTTCTTTTGATTCATGACTGACTAGATATAAGATTTTCCCACAGTAGGTTGCCATTTCTTTCTGCAGTAGACTGGTTGCCAATCAAGGCTATAGAACTAGTCTGTCCTGCTATTTAACTCATAGTTGGAGAAGAGATTTTTTCCAAGAGTATTTGTGTGTATCTAAATGTAATGAACTTGACTGGAATTAAAACTTGGCTCTTTGATTTCTTGTTCCAAGTTGGCATTCATTGCACCACATTTTATTGTCGGAATAACTAATTACTGTAAATAACTAATCACTTTTTTATTAAAACCTTGAAATAATTTTTAATTAAAATTCTCTTGGTTGTTTTCATTGCTATATTTGGAATTTTGAAATATTTTGGAAAGCTCAATAAAGTACGAAGCTGAATGAACTTAACAGACTTTCTGCATTGGTGACACATTTTTTATAAAAATGTAGTTTTATTAGTGAAGCCAAATATATAATTCAAAACTTTTATAAAAAGAACAGGCAATTACTTTATAGCATTTTGCCAAACAAGCTTGGAAAACTCTACCTTAGCTGAAATATTCTAATGTTTATGATAATAAAGATGAGGATGCTAGTCCTAATAGAATCATGAATGATGACTGATTTTTTTTTTTTAATCTGTACCTTCCACCATTTTAAAGTACACTTAATGTCTTTTTTTTTTCTGTAGATAAATGCTTGTGCTTACCTTGACAAACAGAATGTAGCAACTTATATGGCATCACCACAATGTCTTGGCTATGAAAAAAATACCTTTGTAACTAAAAAGATGTGTTTACCGTCTGTAGAAGAAATTCTCAGGTAAATAATGACTTGAATATTATTTCTTTGTGAGTATTTAAAGAAAATAACTTATTCTTCAGAAGGATTGGGGGAATACAAAACTTTATTAATGCTATAAAAATGGACATATTGAAATTGTATATACCATATATTTCTGCATATAAGGCGGACTTCAGATAAAACAAGGTAAAAAAAATATAGAAAATTTTAATGAATTTATTTTAGGCAATTTATTATGAAGTTATGCCAGTAATATATAAGGTAGAAATGGTTTTATAACTTTTATTATCAGTTTATTTGATAATGTGAATCTTTTCATGTACGTTATTGGTTATCGCATTGAGGCCAAAGTTACCTAACAACAAACTCCTTTAGAATTGTATATAAGTCATGAAGCTACCAATGTTAGAAAACTTCAAACATGAAATCTGTTTACAAATGATCACTCTATTGATTATAAAAAAAAATAGCCTGTCTAGGTGCCTTAGTTCTCTTCAAGTATCACATTCTCCTTAATCTCGTCTATGGTCTCAAATCTCCTTTCTTCCAACAAATTTTAGCTTTGGGAAAAGTTAGAAATTGCAGAGGGTTAGCAACTCTGTGAAAGAGCTGACAGATTTTTTACAAAAAAAAAAAATGAAATCTGAAGAATGGGCAGTCAATTCATCCAAAATGGTTGGATACTTTTTAAACAATCCATAGAATCCCTGGATCTTCTGATCCTTCCATTTTCAAGCACCAATTTCCTTTGGTTGCAACTGCTACATGTTCAATATTTTCAGGCATTCCACATGTTTCTTAAAGGCCTTAAGGAATTGAGATAATTTTCAATGTATTTGTGGTGGCAGTATAATTGTTAACATGTGGCCTTGTATAAGTGATATATGCCATTAACATTAAAAGAAATGATTCTATAGATTCCCAGCCAAGTTTTGTGTCAGCAAGAAAAATTGTATGGGGATGAGGTGGAGGCACTCAGGGAATCATTTCCCAAAAGCTGACTTAATCATTCAGATAATTTCCATGAATAACTTTGATGCATATTTTAGTTCTTGTGATGTCACTCAGTACCAAAATTCCTTCAATGGAGTAACATTGCTGACTGTGTAACCCCATGAGAGAGGGTGTACATACAGAAAGGTCCTCTCTGGCTGATAATCAAATTACAGTAAGACTTTGCAACTGGTCTTTGATATATCCCAAATGGCTGGATGCTTTCTGAATAAATTTTATAGTTCAAAGAAAAAAAAATCATTAACTCATTTAATAAAGACTGTCATAACCCAAGAATATTGTTTGGCATTTCTTCTCCTTATCCTCATAATCTTCATTTCCTTCCTTTCCATTTTTACTGCACACCATCATTATCATTTTGATTAATCTTCTACCTTGAGGGGCTTTTGAGCTTTGTCATAGGTGAAATTTAGTATTAAAAAATTTATCTGGATTGTTAGCTCTTCTACATTCAGATGACTATTATGGAGATTGTTAATGCTAATCCTCCCAAGGATTGAACTCTTCATCCTTGACTAACAAATATTGTTGAATTATCCTGTCTCACCTGTTAATTAAAAATGAACCTATCCTTTTCTATAAAAGCTTCTAACAATTTGTTCAGAGGGCAAGCAACTTGGGTAGCAGTTTTTGGCCAAGAACAATATTCCCTGGGTTTGACAACTACCATATTCTTGCAACCTTTTCCTCTTTCCAAAAATCAAATCCCACTTCAATGAATAAGCTTTCAAGACATTGTGAAAATCCAAGAAAATGTGATTAGGCAGCTGTTGGCTATCCCAAAAAAGGAGTTCCAGGAATGCTTTCATCATTGGAAATGACATTGGATGGCTTCAGAAGGGAACTACTTGATATGTATTGTAGTTTTCTTAAATTGGCAGTTAAAGTCATTTCCCGTGATGTGAAAAAAAAATCTCACAACTCTTATTTAATAACTGAATATAAACTCATCTCTAAGCATTTTTCTTTACAGTTCCCATCATACTCTGTCTTGAAATTGTTTAGTGCACAATATTTTCTATAAATGCCTTCTCTTAATGACTTTTATATGTGATCCTTCTGAAGGTTAATTACTTTGTGGTGGTCAGATTCTGTCCTGAAGAAAAGAAATTCTTGAAAAGATGCATATTTCAAGCATTGTATGCTTTTCCCTTTTCACCATTTGCATATTAAAAAAAAAAAAAAAGCCAAGAATGAGGAAAAACAGAATTTTTTCAGCAGTTTAATAAGCAAAATTATATATATATATATATATATATATATATATATATACATATATACACACACACACACACACACACACACACACAGTGCGATGGGTAAATTGTCTAAACGATGCAAAAATGAAAATAACACTGACATCTCATTTCAACAGATATATTTACCAAAATTACACAAAAATATCTTGAAATACTAAAGAGTAAATTTATTCAATAATATTACCATTGGCTCCAATGGTGATGTTATTGTCCTACAAATGACTTCAGAATCTCCTGCAACTTTTCTGGACAGTCTCCTTGTTTAAGTTGATGAATGCTGCCATAATCCTTGCCTTCAGTTCATTGTTGGTGGTACAAGGAGTTTTGTTAGTATCTCGCACAACTGCACCCCACACATAGAGTTAGGTGGCCAAATGTAAGGGGTGATGTGGTTGCGTAAATTATCTGTGACTGGGTTCTCCTGCTAGCCTGGCATGGTTCAGAGACCTGTTTCCACACATAGGGTCTTCCAGCAGCCACCCTCTTGACTCAGGGCAGCACTACCTCCACAAGGCACTTGACATAAGTCTCTGTGTTGAGTCTGTTGAGTCTGAGACCCTCATCAACAAATTCAGAAGTTCTTTTCTTATCAGAGTGAATTTTCTGAGTTGCTGTAACTTTTAGACTCATCCAACTCTTTCTGAATCCTCTGCACTGTCCTTACATTGGCACTGAAATTTTCATATTGGAGCTTCCAGTGTGAATGCCAAACAGTACAGCATGCAGTTTCCAAATTCCTGGCTGAGTGAATTGCATCATGGTGCACTTTTTCTTACAGATGGTGCCCAATTGACCTTACTATACTGTGCAGTTGACAAAACCAAAAATACACAACTCATTATGTGCAAAATTAAAAATATAAAAATGGTGAGAGTTTACCCATTGCACTCTGTATATAGTGCAGCAGAAATAACTTCCACATAATCCTCCCACATAATGGTAAGACATTAGCAGAGCTAAAAACATCATTGCCACTAATGTCTTACCATTCTGTAGCAAGATTATGTAGGAGATATTTCTGCCACATGCTGTATATATTATTAAAAACAAGTGACGTTTTGTATCAATTAATTTTAATGATTGACTTTTCCAAATTACAAATAATCCTTCTCACACAAGGAGGAAATTCCATTAGAAATTATCCAAAGTTTGTTTTGGAAGAAAAGTACAAGAAATATGATACATGCCCATGACTTTCTAAGTCATCAGGATAGGTGGAAAGACAATGAGGAGTTTTATGGCACTATTGAGATTTGTGATATAAGCATGGTGGGGCCTACTTTGATGATAACTTAAGAAAATCAAAAGTTTCAACCATATTTCTTGTACTTTTCTTCCAAAATGAACTTAGGAGAACTTTGATAATTTCTGATGGAATTTTCTCCTTGTCTGAGATGGATTATTCATAATTTGGAAAAATCAATCATTAAAATTAATAAAAATTTTGCAGTTTATTTATTTGAATTTTCTGATTAATCCTAATTCTTCAGTTCATTGTGAGTTTTATGACAATAAAATATCTGTAGAATTTATTGAGCTTAACAACCTTAACAAAACATTGCAATAACAATCATAAATATGAATGCTGGTCATTATTTTAAGAAGTAAGGGGGTACAAATGAAAATATTTGAAATTGATACCGTTTCCATTTCATTGAAATAGCCATTAAACACTTTTATGTTCCCTTTTTTCTTTCATTCATTTTGTCACTGAAATCAAATAACATGTCGTCCTGGGTATGATGTTAAACTGCATCCAACAGCAAGGCCTCTGATCAGGAGGTTTTGAGGAGCGTGAAACCACTTCTTAATTGCTGGTGTTCCCAGGTCCACCCTGAACTGGGGTGGTAGCACCTGTTAGGGTCCCAGCTATGGGCAAATAGCGAACTCCCAGTTTTTTCCAGACCTTACCCATGTCCTGGATATGGTGATAAACTACATGCGCGTCCTGGGTATGACGATAAATTATGTCCAACAGCAAGGCCTCTGATAATGTTTTTGAAAAAATAATGTTGCCAGCTATACATTTTTGAAAAAATAATGTTGCCAGCTATATGTTTAATAGTACTATATATTTAATACATATATATATGTATGTATGTATGTATGTATATATATATATATATATATAACTTAATTTGGCATTAAATGACCTACAGTGGTTGATATGCCATAAAACCCAACCAACCAACCTGTCTTGTTTTTCTATGCAATCAAAAGGAATAGTCTATTATTTATGAGGTATTAAATAAACACTTCTATCTTCATTTCTGTCTTTTTTTTTTCCCCAAGTCAAATCTCCATCTTACAAGCATTTCTCTTAATAATAATATAAAAATAATTCAGCAGATGATGTTATATTATTTATGGTAACTGGATTGTTGATGATAACCTTACTTAGTTTCTGTTGTTCAATATTGTGTGTCTGAAAAATGATCTTTTGGCTGGGATGATGATGATGATGGCTGGCCACTAATATTCAAGGATACTCGTCTACTAGGGTGGCTAGCCAATCCTTATTACAGACACCCTCTCAGGAACATTGTGTTTGCTCACAACCCACAGAGCCAACCTATGGTTTATACTGCAACTATGCTGAGCAGACCTTAGTTACAGTTTCTGGGAGAGAAACGTGTTATCTAGTGTGATCAACAATCTGAACAAAGCCAGTACACTCAAACCCTTAGTCACAATGATGTGTGCTTTGTGCTAGCACAGCTATTGACGGCCCCAAGTGTTCTGTCTACCCAATTTCACTCACAAGGCTTAGGTCAACCTGTGGTATGGTTTTCAGGCACTTTCCAAAAGTGCCACACACTGGGATCGTCCCCTTCCAGACTGATAACATCAAGAAGTCACCTTCCTGACACGTCGACCATGGTGAGATTTGAAACCAGGTCTAATGGTGAGAAAGCAAAATTCTAACCACTTGACCATGTGCTCATTGGCTGGGATAAAAGGGTAGTATCTGCACTCAGGTGGATAAACTAGATTTTATCTCTCAGTTGTGCCTCTGTCTGTGGACAGAGCATAACTGAAAATATTATTGAGAGATGCCCAGGCCCTATGAAACAGCTGCCCACAGTACCTTCCTCATTTCACTAAAGAGGGGTGATCAGTAGTAATACCAATGCCGGCACAATCAATGGTTGTGGGGGTTGGGCTATTTTGGGACCAAGCCTGGATACATGTTCTTGCGTTCCCCATATTAAACTGACTTTGTGCCACATCCTACCAGTGTGATGTGCTTCTCAGCCTTTTGGTTATGATCAAAGTGTAGTATCACTTCTTATCAGCTTCATCTGATTTTCTTTCTCTCTCTCTCCACTTCTCTCTTCCTTTTCTTTCTTTCATTGTCTCACTGAAACCAAGTAAAGTATTTTCCCCTCTTTCCATGTGATCAAAACAGAATAGTCCATTATTTATGAGGTATTGGCAGGGTGTAATGGGCATTTGAACTAACAAAGAGAGGGACAAGCACAATTATTAAAGACTAATTTGACATATATCAACAGGTAGCATGACTATTATAATTTTTTTAAAGTTTTATTTTTACTGATCAATGATGGCAAAAACTAAAGCTAACCAAAGGATATTTTTTCCTCTTCAGGATTCTATTCCTGACAAAGACTTTGGTTGAATCATTGTATTGACATCATTAGAAATAAAAACTATGAAGAAGTTTTATTGTCTGAACAAGTTTGGAATTAAAGTTAACCTGTTTTTCATTCTTTTGTGGAGTGTGTCTGTGTTTGGTTAAGGCACTATTTATGTGTCAGCTGTTCACATTCAATTTACATTTATATGCTAAGAATAAAATAAATGTGTTCTGTAAACTTATTTCTCAATTGGTCGCCAAGACGGAGTTATGACTGCTACTGAATACTTCTTTCTTTCCCTTTTTTTATTTTGTAATCTTAAACAAACATGACACACCAATGTGTACTCGTGCTGTTAAAGCCAACAATAGAATTATAACTGATTTATTTGAATAATGGAAATTTATATTGAAGTGGCACTGAAAATGTACTCAGAGAAACAACTTAAGTGAAAGTTCGTTTTAAGGTCTCACATATTTTTTATAAACTGAAATTCATCAAAATTATTTGACTTTATTAAAATAAATTGTATTTAATTTAAAAATTATCTCTTTATATGAATAATTTTAAAAAAATGATAAAATATAGCAGTGAATAAGTTATGTACCTAAAAGATTAATTCATTTATTCATGACAAGTTTCATTTTCAAGTCAAGAATTTATTTTTTTCTTGAAAATAAAATTAAGAATCTCACTTTTTAACAATTAAGTTTATATTAAATTTATTGATTGGGAATACAAGATGTTTTTCTTTTAATTTGTTAATGTATTCATTCAAATATGGTTTTCCAAATGTTACAATCTTAACTTCTTCAAGACAAGGGTCAATTATTATATATCCTCCCTATCCTCATAATCTTTATTTCCTATTTCCTACTCTTACATTCATATCATAAAACTTCATTTTTACCTTGAGTGGATCTTGTGCGAACATTAATTAAAAAAAAGTTGAATCCTTACATAATGTCATTTGTTTTTGTAAACTCTTAGAAATTGCTGTAGTAGATGGCTTATGCCATATTTTTGTAAATAAATTTATATTAAATAAAGTCTTCTATCTCACCTCTTTTCTGCTGATAAAGTAGAATGTTTTTCACATAAATTCTCTTCCAATTCTACTTTTAATCCATCTGGCATATCTTTGACATTCCACTTAGAACTGAGTCTCTACTGTGTTATATTCATATAACTCTGTCCATGGTTTCTACAATCCTCTCTAAACTGGATCCTCACAAAGCATGTGGACTTGATGGTATCCCTGCAATAGTCCTTAAGAAATGTGCTCCTGAACTGGCTCCTGTTCTCTCTAAACTCTATAATAAATGCCTTGCTACTGCTCACATTCCTGCTTGTTGGAAATCCTCTTCTGTAGTTCCTGTCTTTAAGAACTCAGGAAAACCATTTGGTCATTCTATCAGACTTTTACCTTTTTAGAAAAAATGTCCTAGAGACTCTAATCAACTCTGAATTGTTTAAGCATCTCATATCAGAGGGTCTTCTCTAAAACAATTTCTGATGTGTTAATTATTCCTGAAAGAGTCTGTCAAGCATTAGATAAAAATGGTAATGCTCAGGCTGTTGCTTTGGATATCTCAGGCATTTGACAGTTTGACATGCTGGTCTTCTTCATAAGTTGAAAGGTTCTGGTATTTCTGGACAAATTTTTAATCTGATTCAGTCTTTTTTATCAAATTGTAAAAATAAAGTTGTCTTGAATGGCCACTCTTCTAGATCTTTTTGTATTAATGCAGGCGTCCTTCAGGGGTCTATCCTTGGATCTAGGTTCCTAATTTTCATCAACAACATTTCTGATGTCATCAGTTCTCAACTCAGTATCTATATTGATAACATAACTATTTACTCTTGTCTCAGTAGTATGTTTGGTCCTCCCAATGAGATCAAATAGGCAGCTGATCTAAGAAATGACCTACAATCTGTTAATAGCTGGGGCAAGAAATGGCTTGTCAATTTTATGCCTCCAAAAGGAAACTTCTCTAATCATGTTAAAGAATCTTTTCTGCCTTCTATCAGCATGACTAATGCTAATCTCCTGGAGAATGATTCATTGCACTTTCTCAGTTTTCTGCTGACATGAACTGGAGAGATTATATTGAATCAATTGCTAGGTCTCCTGATAGGTAAGTGTTGTGCTAGACAATTTTTCTCATCAGAATCTATCTTACATATTTATAAGTCTACCATTTGTCCATGCTTTGAATATTGCTGCCACATCTGGTCTGGTGCTTCTGCTATATATTTAGAGATTCTAGATAAAATCTAAAGAGAATCTGTAATGTTATTGGTCCTGATTTGGCATCACAACTTCAGTCACTTTCCCACCACCATAATATAACTTCCCTGTGCCTTTTCTATAAACATTCTCATGGTAATTATTCTGATGAGCTTTTCTCTTTGCTAATTTGACTTTATGAATTCAAGCACAATACTAGATTGGTAACTAGGTCTCATCATTTTACAATTGAAATGGCTAGATGTAAACATAAGTTTAATGCTAACAATTTCTTCTCTCAGACTTCTTGTTTGTGGAACTCTCTTCCAGCTCTTTGATTTCAAGTAATTTAAATCCAGTGTCAATCGTTATTTTCTGTCTTCTTAATTCCTGTTCTTCTATTCTGCTCTCTCCTTAATAATGGTTTTCTTTTTCTCATTTTCTTTCATACTCAGTAACCCCCTTGCATCTTTGTGGCTTTATTGCCTTGATTGGGGTGAAATGATTTAAAAAAAATTTAAATTTGTTACACTATAACGAATGATGTTGATGTGCATTGGCTCTTTTTAAAATTTCATTTTTTTTCTTAGGTGATAGATATGTGCATTTTCTCTGCATGTGTGTGCATGCATTGCCTTAAAATCAGTTATACAAATCAAGATAAAAAAAAGCTCCCAGAGATGAAATCCCATTAGAACCAGTCCAGATCCAAGGCCATCTCACCCCTTGTATGAACCTCTCCCTGATTGACCATGTCTTCAGGGGTGTAGTGATACTCATCCAATTGTGGGTTGGTGAGGCTATTTAACTCATAATTGGCAGTTTTGAATTCAGAGTTGTCCTTATCCTAGACTGATTGCCACCTAAGGCTATAGGACCCAGTCTGTCCTGTTACTTACCCATAGCTGGAAGAGCAAAGAGACAAATTCACATTTTTCCTAAGAGTAAGTGAATGTAACAAACTTTACATGAATTTGAACTCTTCTCTCTGATTTCACAATCCAAGCTGCTACCAATTACACCACTGTGACTTTGATATAAAAATATTCAGACTAAATTACTGTTATAACTATTTATATTGGTTGAGCTATAAGTATGGAAGGGATCTCTGCATCTAGCTCAATACATAACATATGACATGATGCTCCTGGCTGTCATGTTTCAGTAATTTTGTTAAACCTTTATAATCTGTTAACAAAACACCATAAATCAATTTTCAAAAGTGATTCTAGATTTCTAATCTAGAATAATAGGAAAGAAGAAAAATAACACGTTAAACAATAAATACAATTATTTTTTTTTCTCTAAGGAAAAAAAAGTTTATTTGCATTCAGACTTTTATATATTTTTTTTTCTTTTTTTACATTATGATAAAAAAAAATGGAAAAATAAACTGATGCATTCTTATATTTGTTTCAGGCTGACAAAAAATATTGTTGTGCAGACACGTGTAAAAATTGTATTTGTTGCTACAGACAAAGATCCGATGCTTGAAAAATTACAAAGGCACCTGAAAGCACAAAAGGTTGGATTATTTGTTTTTTCTTTTCTGTTTTTTAATCTCCTTTATTTATTGTTGAAAGTATTTTTACTAGTAAATTTCAAAACCAAATGAAAGTCTTATTTTAAAAAAATTATAAGGTCCTCTAATAACCTAATAAAATTTATCAAATTGTATGTATACTTGCTGAATCTGTCAAAATTCCAACTAAGATTATCCATTATGTCATACATCTGCTCTTCTCTCAGCCTTTGCTGTATCTTCTCATTCTATCCCTTATCCCTTCCAATACAACTATGATTATACCTGTCTACTAGAGTAGCTAGCATATCCTAGTTGCAGACACCAGCTGAGGCACAATGTGTGTTTGTTCAACACCCACAGAGCCCACCTGTGGATTATACTGCAACTATGTGGAGTGGACCATAGTTACAGTTTCTGGGAGAGAAATCATTATCTGTCATGATCAACCAATATATATATATATATATATATATATATATATATATATATATATATATATATATATATGTGTTTTATGTGAACATTGAAGTCAACACTCAGAGCAACAGACTGTTTCATGCTAAACACAATCAGCATGAAACAGTCTGTCGCCTCTGAGTGTTGACTTCAGTGTTCACTTTTATATTTACATACGCTCTATCTCTGATATTGAGCACTTTATCCTATAAATATAGCATACCTTAAACCATATTTCTTTATATATAATAGCTGGCCACTCATATTCGAGAATACCTGTCTATCAGGGTCGGTAGCCAATCCCTATTGCAGACACTTGCTCAAGCACATTTGTGGTTGTTCAACACCAACGGAGCCCATCTGTGGTCTATACTGCAACTAGCAACTATGCTGAGCAGACCTTAGCTACAGCTTCTGGGAGAGAGCGTGTTATCTAGCATGGGTCAACAATCTGAACAAGGCCAGCACACTCAAACCCTCTGTCACGATGACTTGTGACTTTGTGCTAGTACAGTTACCGACGGCCACCAAGGGTTCCATCTACCCAATTTCACTCACAAGGCTTGGGTTAACCCCTAGTGTAGTTTCCAAAGATGCCACATGCTGGGATTGCCCCGCCAGCTGATAACATCAGGAAGTCTACTCTCTGACAAATCCACCATGCTGAGATTCAAACCTTGTTCTCATGGTCAGAAAGCAAATGTTCTAATCGTTTGGCCATGCACATGTGTGTGTATATATATATATATATATATATATATATATTTATTTATTTCCTTTCACTTGGTTTTCTTTAGTTATTTTAGTCATATCTTCATTTTATAACCACTTAGAATGTTTCTTTTTTCTTGGCCATGAATGACCAGATGTCTTGAGTTTGTTCCTCCCTTTTGGACATAACAACTTGGCTATTTTCAAGAAGCTGACTATCTGGTGGCTGGTGCCATGGACTCAGTGTACCTTTTGATTTCCTTTATCAGTTTGGAAGCTGCCATGTTAATATTTTTCGAGATATCTGAAACTGTTAAAATTTAGTACATGCTTTGTAACATTACATTAGATTGTTTCTATTTAGTAGATTTCACAGAGTGCACTAATCTTAGACAAAACCACGAGGAAGAAACACTTTGTTCCTGAACAGAGAGCACAGAAAAGCTAATTCATATGTAAATAATTCCATCATTTTTAATAAGACTCTGTTAGAAATGATAATGAAAATGTAACATAAAGAATGAATTCAGTAGTTTGAACAGTTTTTGGAATGAAATGATTTCTGAAAATTAAGAAAAGTATCAATCTGAATGTTTGCTACTTTTTGATAATTAGTACAGTTTGAAAAAATTAATTCCAACTTAAATTTTAATAACTCATAGAATATACCCATTTGTTGTTGACCTTATGTCTCTTGGAAAGTATTATTCATGTCATAATAATTATTATTTTTAAATCTATAATTATTTTTTGCTGTCCTGGGTATGATGGTAAACTACATCCGTGTCCAGGGTAAGATGATAAACTACATCCAACAGCAAGGTCTCTGATCAGGAGGTTTTGAGGAGCCTGGAACCACTTCTTAACAGCTGGTGTTCCCAGGTCCACCCTGATATGGGTTGGTAGCACCTGTTAGAGTCCCAGCTATGGGCAAATAGTTAACCCCCAAACTGAGATAAAAAAACATTATGAAAGTGTAAAAATAGGTTTTAATACCAGAAATACTTTGTAAAAAATTATTACCAGAGATAAACTTTTGAAGGGAAAAAAAAAACTAATTACCAGCAATATATTTTTGAAAAAAAATATTACCAGCAATACATTTTTAAAATAATATTACCAGCTATACATTTTTGAGGAAAAAAAATATTACCAGAAATAGATTTTTGACAAAACAAAAATATTACCAGAATAAAAATTTTGTCAGCAATAAATAACCCATTGAGTTTGATATGCTGTAAAACAAAACAAACCAAAAATCAAATCTATAATTATTTTTGGGGGCTTTTTAGCTTGTCCTGAATCTAGCACATAATGTATATTTTTTTAATTGTCTTAATAACTCTTTATTTTTTTATTAATAGGTTCAAGTATTTCATTATGATCCATGGCTGCCACAACTTGATCTTGCCATCTTGGAAAAATCAAAGCATTTTATTGGAAATTGTGTTTCCTCTTTCAGTTCATTCGTTACGCGATCAAGGATAAGAATAGGAAAACCAAGTTCTTTCTGGGGTTATAGTTCAGAAGAAAAAAAGGAGAGATTAAATTCAGATTTATAAAGATAAAGAGGGAATGGAAATATCAAAGATGCAGCAAAAACAACGCACTTTTTATTTATCAACTTTTATTAAACAAAAATAAATTACATTAGTTTGATAAAATTAATAAGTATTGTCACATCAGAACAACATGATTTGTTAAGATTAGCAAAGTATTTAACATGTTCAAAATGTTTCCCCTTCATGTTCAATACAACGCTGAACCCTCTCAGCAATGCTTCTACAAACCATTTGATACATTTCCAAATTAATTTCAGAAAATTTATCAGAAATTGCTTGTTTTAATTCAGGAATTGTTTTTGGTTTGAGCCTGTAAACAAGATCTTTCATTACACCCCACAAGTCTGATGTTAGGTCTGGTGATTGTGATGACCACTCAATTGCTCCACATCATCCTATCCACCTCAGCTCAAAAAAGGGTGTTATTTTTGCTGCACCTGTATAAGATTGATTCAATCAAGCAAAATGTAATTTAGATCTGTCCATTGGTTACAAGAGAACTTATTTTCAATCAATGTTATTAAATTTACTGGTGTGATTGTGTATTTGCAGAAATAAAAAATAAATAAAAAAATAAAAAAAAAGAAATAAAAAAGAAGGCTTGAAAGTAAAAGAAAAAAAAAGGATGGTAATTTTATTGATCAGCAACAAACAGCCATTAAAAAGGAAGAAGAAAACAAAAATTTGACCTGAAAGAGCTGTGAATGAATTCTTTGTTATTCTTTAAAAAAATGGAAGAGACTGACATATCCTGGAATTTGGAGGAAAGAAAATAGATTCAAAAATCAGAAATTGCTTGTTTTTAATGGTTAGATCTGAATGAATGCTGTTTAGTAAAACATCTATTGTGTTATGACAGCTGACTAAAGATAAAAAGTGAATTCAAGTAATACTGGGAATTTATTTATTAATTCAATTCCCTACTATTAATAATCATGAAATGATGATGTTGGAATTGCAATAAAAAGCAACAGAAATTAAGATGGATGAAAGAACATTAAAAAATGGGCAATGTTTAATCTTTGTGTCTGCAAAAAAATTTTTTTATCAAAAGGATGGTTATTCCCTTGACATTTGCTACTACTTTATACATTTTTCAGTCCCTCGGCAATGTTTATTTATAAGATTATAAAAATATGTGAACCAAGTATATTGCGACATTTATTATTTACCTTTTATAAAGAAATAAAGTTGAAATCTTTTTAATGAAATATTATAAAAAAATTATCAAAACCAGCTACAATGTAATATTTATTATTTACCATTTTATAGATAACTATAAAACAAGTTTTTTTTTATTCAATCTAATAAATAGATAATGTTTAACATCTTTGTTGTCAATTCTCAAGAATAAAAAAATGTATAAATCTGCTTTCATATGTTTGTGTTTTGTTAAAAATTGCTTTTTAAAACAACAAACATTACTGAGGGAGTCAAAACTTTAGACAGTAATAATGGTGTCAAGGGAATAACCGCCCTTTTGACACATCATTTTGTCACAGACATGAAGGTTAAACATTGCCAAAGAGTGATTAATAAATGATGGTATCTGAGTAATTCAAAATAATATTCCAAATGAATGGAACAGACAAATTCTGATATGGATTTGTCTGTGATAAAAGAACTTAAGAAGTATACATCGTTTAGTATTTACATGATGTCTATCATGCATGATAAATTTTATTCAGTGTTATTTGAATGGTAAATATTTCTAATGTGAATTTGCCTATAGTGCACTATATAATTACTTATTTTATTATTCCTCTGTATATGTGTGTGTGTGTGTGTGAATCCTTTATAAAAGATGAAGTATGTAGCATTCAAATTCCTATTAATCATTAAGAAAAAAATTTTAATATATAAATCTATAAAACATTACATTTACAATTTAATTCCGTTTGTGTTTATATTATTAATAGTAAAAAACAAAAAACAAGCGTTTTTAAAATTTCAAGATTTGGGGGAAAAATTTTTTAATTTGATTTAAATAATTACAGGACACGATGGATAAATTGTCATCTAAATTACTCAAAAATGAAAATAACTGTGACATCTTATTTTAACAGCTATATTTACCAAAATTACACAAAAATATCTTGAAATACTAAAGAGTAAATTTATTCAATAAAATCTCCATTGGCTTCAACTACGGCCTCCAGATGACTTTAGAATCTCCTGCAACTCTTCTGGATGGTCTCCTTGTTTAAGTTGGTGAATGTTGCCATAATCCTTTCCTTCAGTTCATGTTTGGAATTACAAGGAGTTTTGTTGGTCTCTTGCTCAACTGTGCCCCACACATAATAATCAAGGGGAGTTAGGTGGCCAGATGTAAGGGGAGATGTGATCGTAGAAATTGTCTGACAGCCATGACTGGGTTCTCCTGCTTGTGTGGCAGGGTGCAGAGTCCTATTGCCAGACATAGTCTCTTCCAGCAGCTGCCACCTTGACTCAGGGTAGCACTATCTCATCGAGGCACTTGATGTAGGCCTTTATTTTTAGTCTGAGGCCCCAAGGGAAAATAAATGGAAGCATAACATTGCCATTACTAGTGATTACTCCAAACACCTTCGTAATCCAACTCTGAATCTTCTGCACTGATTAATATGCAAACACTCTGAAATGTTTGTATTGGAGCTTCCAGCATGAATGCTAAGCAGAACACCATGCTGTTTCCAAATTTCTGGCAGACTGAATTGCATCATAGTTCTCTTTTTCTCACGTACCCTACTATAATGTGAAGTCAACAAAATCAAAAACAAATAATGCTCAAAATTAAAAATATAAAATAGGCACAATTTACCCATTGCACCCTGTACTCAAAATTATTTTGCACAATTTGAGTTGATATCTGTTAATATGTAACCTGCCACCCTAAAACTTGAAAATGGCCTTAAATTAAGTATATAAAGCTATACATCTGAAATTTGGTTACTTGAATTTGTCTCTAAAAAAAGCTGCACAAGTGAATTTATTTCCTGTCTTTGTAACCAATATACAAAACTTTTATTTATTGTGGAATGGGTTATTTTCCTTTTTACACAATTAATTTGTTGTTCAAGATGTCAGCAATGAATAAAAAGGTGGCTTAGATATTTCCAGGATATATTTTTGTGATAAGTTTCATAAAATCTCATCTGCAGCAAATAAAGTGACGAACAAAACAACCCACAATATTTTCTCTCAATGTTTCAACCTGCGACTGTCTTCACTTGTTTATCACTTGCAGAATAAATTTTTTTATCATGTAAGAGAAAAGTTATGATTCTATCGGTTGTAAAAGTGATGGTGTTTCACTCATACAATTTAATGAATATTTCAAATTAAACATTACATTAATACGCAAAACTGTTAAATGTTCTTAATTTGTGTATTTTATAGTTGGCTTTTATTAAAAGGAAAAAAATTGGAATCTGGAATTTTCATAAAAAAAAAATAAAAATGATTACCACAAGGCACAAAGATTTTGTTTTAACCATTAAATTTCCTATTATATGAAAAAAAAATTGTGACTTACACATTTTTTTACTTCAGTAACATCCTATTTTTGTTTCTTTCTGTAAATAAATTTTTAATTCTCCAAGGAGAATCAATGATTTTATTTTTTCATAAAATATTTCATTGAAATGGGAAAAAAATTTTATTGCCTTGAATTTTGTTCCCTCTTTCATTTATGGCTGCTTCTTGCATTTTGTCTTTTAGTTATGGTGTCTGCTGCTGGAAGCATTGTAAAGATCATTATCTGTAAGATGAGTTCAGAATTTTTTGTTGTACATTTTGTACCTAAATGCTTGGTAATGGATGTATATACATATTTAGAACAAACATTTAACCTTGTTGCCAGTCATAATAATATCCTGTTACATATTTTAACAAATTTAAACTGCTTTTCTTAAGAGCAGGAAAGTGTGTTGATATCTGACAAGCAAGAATTATAGCCAATTATAAAGACCTATATTCAACTAATATATAATTTTACCTGTATTTTACTTTCAATTTTTTTATTTTTATTCTTCATTTGAAAATATCACATGAAATAATTACTCATTATTTACCATGCAAAACGTTGCTTAACATTGGTAGCTACATAGAAACTTATTTTTAATGAATTTATTTTGTTAGTAAAAAATATCACTGATAACTAAGTCCTGAGAAAATTACTTTATTTATATTTTTCTATAACTTTTCTTTTTTTAAGTAGTTTACAAGCAAAATGTTTTATGGTTTATGCTATACGGGTACAATGTGTTATTTTCAGACATTCACTACTAAGTAAATCTGTAAACATATTCGGTAATAACAGACAAAAAAAAAGCAAGCATTTAGTTTAAGTCAGCCTCTTGATAATCCAAAAAGTTAACTATTTTACATAGAGAGACGGTCAAAGGGAGGTAATTAACATATCATATCTGAATTTATTTTTTTTATGAAACTTTCTTTAAATTTAAAAAATTTTTTTTATCTAAATGATAATTGTAATGACTTTAAACAATTTTGATTTGATTTGTGAGCCAATAATCTACTGCTTTGAAACTTCGGATTGGTTTTAGATTAATAAGTGAATATATAAAAACCATATATTTGAAATTTCATCACTTTAATTTGACTACAACTTATATATTTTTATTTAAGATTAATTTAATTAGTATATACACTACATAAAACAAATGTTGAAATTTGTCTGAATAAAGATTTCAGATTAGAGCAGAATAAACATTAAACTTAGAAAATTCCAATTAGTTCAGCAATTTGAATCCATCAACTACATTTTCTATTTTGAGGTTTAACATTTAAAAGGAGAAAAATAAATGCTTGTAATTTTTTAATCTTAGGTTATTTTTTAGAATATTTATTCGCTTAATGATTCAAATTTTATCAGCAATTTTATACTTTATTTCAATAAGACTGGACATTTTATAAAGAAAATCGATTTAAAAAAAGATAAGTTTCATTAAAAAGAAACCTACTCTACTCTTGACAACGCTATAATTCAAGGGAGATTA